ATTGGCATTTGCTCTTGGGCCTCCTTAAAAACTCTAAAGACATGCCTTGGGCTGTAGTTTCTCCCAGGCACATGTCATACCATTCTTGATCTCTCCTCCTAGATGGCAGTGATGTTTATGATGCCCTTCAGAACATTCGTCTTCCACTAGTCTCCAACTGCCTGTCCTAAATACAACCAAGCTGCAGAACATACTCGCTTCAGCAGATGTTTGTAGGCAGTTTGCAACGTGATGGGCTAACTAACCTTTAGTGGTATAGAGTACACAGTGGCTCTATTTGGCTGAGAGCACTCCTAAGAGCACTCAAAGCAAGGTTACACACACACACACACACACACACACACACACACACACACACACACACGGTATATGATAATGTAATTATGTTACATAAGTATTTTTTATGTAAAATATTTCAGAGACAAAGAGTTATAATGAATCAGTCCTGAGCAGGGTTAAATAGAATATAAGTATGATATCCAGTATGTGCCAGGCATTTTACACATATTATAAATCACTTTACAAATATTATCTCATTTAATCCTTACAACAGCCCTATTAGCAGGTACTATTATTACCCCATAGATTAAAAACCCATTGCACATATTATCTCATTTAATCTTTATGATAAAAACTCAAAGTACAGAAAGGTTAAGTAACTTACCCAAGATTACTTAAGCAGTGGCTCTAGGATGCAAATCCAGCATTCATGTGCTTAACTGTTTAAGCTATACCACTTACTCAGCACACAAAATATCTTTCCAGATATGATGGGATTCTGATGCAAAGTTCTAATTGAGTACTTCTTTACTGCACACATCTGTGTAGAGCAAAAGACTTCCCCATATTTGCCTTCTGAGGAGAAATGAGATTAGCTAAGGCCAAGCTTCTCGGACCAAGAAGGGCTGTATGCAATGAAGCTGCTAGCCCATCTGGTGCTCTGGTGAAACCCAGAACAAAGTTCTCCTTACTCCAGTGTAAATGGCTGGTAGAATCAGATAGGATTTCAGCAGCCCCTGACCTTGCCTACCATGGGGGGGTGATCCCCCTACCACATAAGTGGAAGAGTGAGCAGCAGGAGGCCTCCCTGGAATGAGACACTCACACACGTTCCATCACAAAGGTGGGGCCCATGTAGCCTTCTCTTTTCTCGGTTGCCAGGAGGGAGTGGAGTGAGTAACTGCTGACTTGGCTGGCTGTCCTTCTCCTTGTACCTTTGCTTCAACAGCCAATTGTTTCAAAAGCACCAAAGCTTCTGTCAAGGGCCTGTCAACCTACACAGAGCAGAGCAGGTCCTTCAAAATCCACTCTCTGCAACTCAACTTAGTAAAGAGTAGCTGCCAATTACTTTGCTTCCTCACTTCCATTCACTCCCCTGCAATCTAACTTCTGCATTCTCTACATCCCTGAAACTCTTTCTGCCATGTTTGGTTTCTATCCTACTCCCCCACCCCTGGCCCAGACCGTACCCGACAGCATTCACCATTGACAATAATTAGTTCTAGAATCCTGACTTTTCAGATTCTCTTCCTATTTCTCTGGCTGTAATTTCTCAGTCTCTCTATGGCATTTTCCTCCTCAGGCTCTCCTTAAATGCTGGTATTCCCCAAGTTTTCATGCTTAGACCTGCCTTCTTCTCTTTCTTGAGATGCTCTATGAGATGTTCTATGGGTGACTGCATCCCAAGGCTTCCCCATCATCTCTTCTGAGGATTCTTCAATTTGTTTCTGATGCCTAAATCTCTTCTAGACTTGAGAAGAAAAAAAGAAACCATTAATTTCAACACACTTTTACTTATACAATTTTTTAAATAAAGTGATTTTATTTTATACTGTTCTTGAAATACGTTTTGGTCAAAACCCTGGAAGTGAAGATTTAGGTCATTCAATATCTGGAAAATGTCTACCATATAACCCACTTAGCAAAGCTGTCCTCATTTCAAATCAGTTAATCATACATACTATTTTTTTAGGAAAAAATCCAACTTCGATTGACAAACACATTAATACTTATTTCAAGAAACAGTCTAAAAACCACTGAGAGACAAAATATGGAACACATTTTGTAAAATTGTTAATTAAAAGCAATCAAGTCAATATTAAAATTTATAGATATAATAATTAACTTATAATAGCTATAAAAATGAGTAAATTTATACAGTTTCTCATTTCTTTATAGTAATATAAGGTATAATTAAAATGATAAGTCATGAATTGAGAAGATTGATAAAAGTTTTAAATATTTTTTCAGTTTGTGTGCGTGTGTGCGTGTGATTCTAGTATTCAGCTTTTGGGAAAAATTAAATAAGTATTATATAAAAATAGCTTAAAACTGCCACCATTCCCACTGCCCTCAGCACTACTTTTGATGGACATCATGATCAAACTTTTCATATTTTTAAATAACTAAAGAGGAAGGCAAATGACTAAATAGGCATTAGTCATGTATTGTTAAAAATAACTGATCATAGCCAACATGTAATTTCTTATTTTCTTAATAAGAGGTAGGATATAGTAAATATTTTGCAAGATCAGGATTGACTGATTTGGAAGAAAATATTTCTCTTATGATTTGATATCTTACTGAATATTGCACACCACCTAAAATAAATCATGTAAAATTTTAATCTGTTGGTTTTATTCAAAGTAAGTTGCAGTGTTGGTAATCCAGGAAAACATTAGATTTAAAAGTCAGCATTATCAACCTGCATCCTGCTACAGCTGTTTGAAAGAAGGTTACCTCCCAGACAAAGATATGGTTCAAGAAAAAGGGCCCTTACATTTTAGAGAATCATTCTGAAATAGCTACATATGATATATCTAAGATTTGCTTCAAAATCATAAGGGAGTGGTGAGAATTGTACTTTACCTCTGTGCTCTCTCTCTTCAAACCCATAACCACAGTCTAATCATTAGAAATACATTAGACAAATCCCCAATGGGGGATATTTTGCAGAATACCTCAGCAGTACACCTCAAAACTATCATCAAAAACAATGAAAGTCTGAGAAATTGCACAGACCAAAGGAGACTAAGGAGACATGACCTCTCACTGTGGTTCCCAGATGGGATCCTGGAAGAGGAGACATTACAGAAAAACCAGTGAAATCCAAATAAGTGTGGATTTTAGTTAATAGTATTGTACCAAAGTAGGTTCTGATAAATGTACTATAGTAACATAAGATGTTAACAACAGGGAAAATAGGCACAAAATACATGAGAACTCTGTACTGTCTTAAGTAAATCTAAGATTGAGTTTCCTAAAATACATGCAAGTGTTGATGTCCAGTCAGCAGGCAGCTTCTTAAGCTGAAGGGCTGAGGGGTACAGAGCTCCAAAGGTTCTCATCCCCTTCGAATGAGGTAATATATACTATCTCAGATACATTACAAAAAAAGCAAGTGGTCTAGCCTTCTCTTAATCTCCTGGAGGCCCAGGAAAGAGTACTGGTTGGTGTTACACATTTATGTCATTGGCAAATAAAATTTTATATATATATATAGGCAACCAGATGTTAATTGAAGCCAAGGGACTTAAGGGAGTCACCCAAAAGAGCTCACTTATGGGAAAGGAGAGCTCTGGGACCAGATCGTTTAAGGGACTCCCTGAAGAAGAGGCACCTACAAAGGAGGATAAACAGTAATGCCAAAGAAATAGAAAAAAACAAGTGAAAAGAAGTCGGAGAAAGATGGCCGAAGAGGGGGTAAAAAAACCTATAAGGTCGCAAGCCAAAAGTGCTTTTAAGAGAGGAATTAATCGACAATGTCAAATATTTCGCTAACTTTCCCAGGTCAGCACGATCATAATAACTATGCCAATCCCCCATCCCTGGTACTACTTATACATCAATGTTGGCTCTTTTACAGTTTTACCCGCCGGTTTACAGTTCATTTCCTCCCATTAGACGACTCAAGTAGGAGACCTGAATCTTACTCAGTTTTCTCTTCCGTAGAGCTTTACACCTACTGCTCAAGTAATACCAGTATAATGGTTTGAAGAACATTTGAAAAACCAAAGATCCAACCTTTGAACTTCCTCCGGAAGCCGAATTTCCCCGGACCCGACAGCACTGCGCAGGCGCACAGTCAGGACGCAGTCTTTCTCCAGGTTTCTGTGTCTGGCGCGAAATCCCCGCTCTGTGGGCGGGGCTGAGGGAGAAGCCGCGCCCTTTGAGCAGATTCGGCGCGAAAATCCCGCGCTCCGGCGCCACGATTGGGACGAGGGGGCGGGGTGGCAGCTGTGGCAGCGGCGCGCGCAAAGTCGCAGCTTCCGGCGAGAAGCTACTCGTGCATTGGCGTGTGACGGCCCCTCAGCGCTGGGCGGTGATGGACCTCGCGGCGGCAGCGGAGCCGGGCGCCGGCAGCCAGCACTTGGAAGTCCGCGACGAGGTGGCAGAGAAGTGCCAGAAGCTCTTCCTAGACTTCTTAGAGGAGTAAGTTGGCGGTCTGCCCTTCCCCGCGGAACTTCCCCAAGCGGCTCCCCCACCCCCACCCCACTCCCACCCGCACCCCCACCAGTCCCGCTTCCGGAGCCCGAGGAGCCCAGTGCCCGGGGGAGGGGCGCGTGGGGCCTGCGCAGTTTCGGGAACCGAAGGGTCGCGCGCCGTGGAGAGAGGCCCCGGTTGGGGCTGAGCCAGGCCGCCGCGAGGAACCTGGGACGGGCTGGCCTGATTTCTAGGGGGTGAAATCCATGGCGAGCCCTTCTTCAAACTCTTATTGTGCCCACTGCCCCATGCTAAGCGTTTTACTCCCATCATTCAGTCTTGGCGACTTTAAGGCTGCTGGTCGTGTAGCCGCCATCATTACCTGTGCGGAAACCGAGGCTCGGGGATGATAAGAAACTTGTCCAGCGAGTCCACACTTCGGCAGGGTCGTGTGGGAGGCTGAACGGGCATTGGAATCCTGGCAGAGGCCCGAGCGGACCGGAAAGCCAGGACCCTAGTGTTGGAGGCACCTAGGGCCCTGACAACCCTTAGCGTCTGTGGCGATGGAAGTACTAGAGTGGTCCCTGTGGTTTGACAGATTCTGCAATGAGGGTGGACCCTGCCCTGCTTAAAAGTAGCTGAACGTACTCCCTCCATCCCTTTCTTTCCTTCCAGCCCGCAACTCCCGCCCCCCGCCCCCCACTTTTCTTTTTTAGTTTTCTTCTGGGCTCCTGGCCTCTCATAACCTCCCTCCCTGGCTTTCCACCACTGCCACCAGTTAGTTAACTGTTCTTGGTGTAGATATTCACTTCTTTGCCTAAGAGTATGGACTCTGCTGCCTCCAGGAAAAAGTGTAAACACTTTGGAATGTCCTATAACATTCTTTTTTTAATTGTGGTAAAATATAACAAAACTTTACCGTTTTAACCCTTTTTTAGGCATAGAGTTCAGTAGCATTACATATATTCACCTTGTTATGCCAGCGTCATCACCATCTACAGAACTCTTCCTCTTCCCAAACTGAAACTCTACCCATTAAACAATAACTCTCCTTTCCCTTGACCCCACTCAACATCTGGCAACCACCATTCTACTTCCTATGGATTTGACTGTACCTCATATGTTTGGAGTCATACAGTATTTGTCCTTTTGTGATCAGCATATTTCATTTAGCATAATGTCTTCAAAGTTCATGTTGTAGCATGTACCGGAATTTATTTTTAAGGCTGAATAATGTCCTATTGTATGTATATACCACATTTTCTGTGTCCATCTATCCATGGACACTTGGGTTTCCACACTTTTACTGTTGTGAATCATTCTATTTTACAGAATTCTGATACACTTAAAAAATATAATTTCATTTATATTTCCCCACTTTTGGCAGTGTTATTCTCTGCCTGACAGATACTTATCTTTCAAAGCCTAGCTAAAGGCTCACCTCCTTTGTGAAACTCTATAAACCTTTCAGGCAGCGCCAATCCTTTCTTCCCTTATGCTCCCAAGTTGCCATTATCCGTTATTATCTGGTAGTAGAACTTCCTGTATCTTAACCTGTCAGCCACTTCATCCTCAGTGAAAATCCTGTCCTCATCCCCACCTAGTCACTACACCACATTATAAAGGTCCTCAATTAATATTTCAACAAATAACAAATATAATTGCTTTCATTGCCTTGCAGCTTACTATGTATGTAGCTAGAAGCTGAGGATAATTATGAACAAAATAATCCCTGGCCTTTGTGGGGAAAATAAAAATGTTAACACTCTCTCAGAATATCAGTTAGCTATTGCCTATGAAAATAGTTCAAATTCTTCACAACTACTCTTTTCAGTTTCATCTTCCACAGCCAGCCTGTCATCATTCACACTCCTCCCATACCTTTTCTCACTGCCACATACTTATAGACATCTGTAACCAGTCTATCTACGGCTTGTTTTTCTTTCGTATTTTAAGTCTTTCAAGGCAGAATTTTAGTTCCACCTTTTATATGCGTGAAGCCTTTCTAGATAATAGATAGAATTAATTTATATTCCCCCATCACATTTCTTGTACTTCATCCTTTTTTTTTCTTTATTTTATTGTAAAAAGAACACTTACATGAGATCTGCCCCCTTAACAAATTTTTAACAGCATAATATGTTGTTGCGTATAGGTACAATTGTGCACTAGAACTAGAGCTTATTCATCTCACTTGACTGAAACTTTATACCTATTGATTACTACCTCTACATTTTCTTTCCTTTAGTCCCTGGCAACCACCATTCCACTTTTCGATTGTATGAATTTGACTATTTTAGGTATCTTGTATAAGTAGAATAATGCAATATTTGTCTGCGATTGGCTTATTTCACTTATAATGTCAGGGTTTATTCATGTTGACACATATTGCAGAATTTCCTTTTTAAGGCTGAATAATATTCCATTGTATGTGTATACCACATTTTCTTTAATCCATTTTCTTTGTCTATTTGTGATGGACATTTAGATTGTCTTGTACCTCTTTAGTAAGAGTATCTCCTATGAGAGTATTAACCCTAGGGCAGGAATAACATTCATTTCCAGCTTCAGTTACCTCTGGCATAGTGCTTTGCAGATAGGTGTTATTCGGTAAATATTTAACAGAACATGCTATATTTGAAGGAGGAATTGATTTTGCCTTGAAACTAATCTGCATAGTATGTTAAAAAGACAAAGAGCAAATATGTTTGTATGATACTCCTTTTGGGAAAAGACACCAGCTGTGCGTGTGTGTGTGTGTGTTTCCATTTTACTGAAGTCTTGTGAAGTACCTCATTGCTGTGTATTTTTATTCTGGTTCTTAAACTTACAACTGACGTATAAGTTTTCCCTGAAGAAATTGAGTCTTTAGATTTTAACCTGAATTTCTTGATTTAACATTTCCCAATTTTAGTTATACATAACAGTAATAAAAGAATAGTTAGCATTTGTTGATTAGAAAATATTAAATCAAGAAACTCAGGTTAAAAATCTGAAGATCCAGTTTTTCTATGTTCTAGTCTCTGCATAAAACATGTTGTAGGCAGTCTCTCATTTAACCTTCACAGTAATCTTATGAGATAAAGTGATGTCCTAATCTGGTTTTGTTCCGTTTTGTTTTAATTTGTTTTTAAAAAGGAGAGGGACAGGTTTAGGAGGGATAAATAGCTTGCCCCAAGTTACACAAATGCCAAAATGGGCCTGTCTTACCCTAAAACTGATGATTTTTAACCAATACACTGAATTATCAGGCATTTAGTTTCTTCTTTTAACTGTCTAGTTCTTCAGTTTAATCTAATTTGCATGTATCTGCAGATTCCAGAACAGTGATGGAGAAATTAAGTACTTGCAATTAGCAGAAGAGCTAATTCGTCCTGAGAGAAACACATTGGTTGTGAGTTTTGTGGACCTGGAGCAATTTAACCAGCAACTTTCCACCACCATTCAAGAGGAGTTCTATAGGTATGATATATTAATCTTCTTTATTTTAAGTAAATATGGAGCCTGGGAAGCCAGCTCTTTTTGGACTGGTAGTGTTCATTTGTTAGGCAGAAATGCAGGTGTCACAGAGGTCCTCTGATAGAGCCAGTGGTCATTTTTAAATTGCTCTGAACTAATTTAGGCCTTTCTGGAGCTGAATATTTTTCACATGCAAACGTTGAAAACCTTTGCGTTCAATAGAGTTTCCCTGTTTTAAGAGGATCATTTACTTTGTGTCAGACATTCATTACTGTTGCTGTCATTTGATTCCCTGCTTCCGCCTACCCCTGTAGGTTTTTTGAGAAAGGGTTTGTGTGGATCCTGTTTTTGATCAGGGATGTATTAACAGCAGTGACGTTGTTGTTGTTAAAGTTAATTTTTTTTCTGATTATAAAAGTAACATGTATATCATAGGAGATTTAGAAAATAGAGTAAAGTAATGAGAGTAAATTCATCTGTACATCTGTAATCCCACCAGTCATAGATAACCGTCATTAGCAGGTCTATTGGAAGGCTCCAAGAGCCTTTCAGGTCTGCAAGTGCAGTTTCCTAAGGATCTCCTGACACATTTAATGTATTTCTGCGTACATGTAATTATTGGGATCATACTGTAGATAGAACATCCTGCCCTTTTCACTTAACAGTATAACATATTTTCCTATGTTACATAAAATCTCTTGAAAACATTTTAATAACTTTTTGGCATTTTTTGGCAGAAATTAGTCATTATATTTAATAATTTTGGCTTTCATTTGTTTTTAATTGCTACATAAAGCAAGAAACATCTTTTTACAGAAATCTTTGTATTTGGATTAAATAAATGTGCCAATCTGATGAATAAAATCAAGTGAAAATAAACATTGTGAACAGTTGTGAACGAAATGAAGATCCTGGAATAAGGAGACACAGTCCTATTACTTTACCTGTTAGAGTAGGAGATGGAGGACTTGTCTCCATGTTTCTAGTCACCTGACCATCAAGAATGGTTGGAGAGATAAACAGCAGAGTTCATTATAAAACTATGCAGCAGGAAAAGTTGTACTGGCAGATGAGGGTCGGTAGAAAATCAAGGCTGGTGATAGAAACAGCTATACTCATACCTCATGTACAGGCTATGCAGCAATTCTCTTCTTGAAAGTAGTTAATTTTCAGAAGATTTTAGATCCCACTCTTAAACCAGGCTGCAGCACCTATTGGGAACTTAT